CCGCTCACCTTCCAAGTGGCAGCGGCGGTCGCAGAGCGTTCCCTGCGCATGCGCAGGGGATGCTCTGTGAGTTTCGGGGGGGATGTTTAAATCCCCCGATGTTTTTTCCCCAGATTTAGGATTTTTGTGCACACGTGGGGACCGCCCCACGTGCGCACAAACCTCTCCCTCCCCCCCAGGTCCCCCCAATGTGCGGATTTAAGCATCTGCACACCAGAGGGCGACTTGAGAATTAGATATATAGATAGATGAGACAATTCAGACTGCTCTGTAAGCGGAGGTCTTTGCACCCAGAGAAATGTCGTCAGGATCCAACCTATTGTTACTGTGCGTATATCAATGTGTCTAATTCTCAGTGTGGCCAAATCTGTGGATTCTTAAATCCAGTGACTGGAGCCATTAACAGACAAGACGGATCTTTCTGGAATCCTGAGAAAAGCCCCAGGTTTGCATAAAGATCTGGAATCTTAAAAACAAACACTGAGGTTTAACCCTTTCTCCCTCCAAATAGTAGAAGTGCCCTTTGTGGCTTATCCTAGGCAGCTGCAACAGTATTGCTGGTTGAAGCCTTGGTTTCTGGAAGTAAAAGGCGGAGGGGGGGAGAGACAGGGCCCTTTCCAGACCTGTTTTGGCCTTTGAGGATTGAATGATTGGTTCCAGGCCTAGGAGCAGGTGATTTGCTACCAAGTGACTGGGATGACTCACCAAGGCCTGTCTGCCAACCTATCTTTATCTCCTCCATCTTTAGCTTTCCTTCCTTCCCCACTCCTGGCAGACTTTCCCTGGGAAAACTCTGGCTGAGTTACACTGCGCCAGCTGTTAGGTTAGGGCCACTTGTGCACTGGGGAACCCGCGAAGACTTTTCAGGGGCACTCCTGTATTCCTTTCCCCCACACCATTTTTTCTTACCCTGTTCTGGGAGCCCCCATATCCCCACTATTTTCTGCTTTCCTTCTCATTTACCAAGTAATCTACATTTTATCTCCCCCCCCCCCAATCTTCAGATGTATTTATTATTCATTTACTATATTTTATACCCTGTGTTTCTCCATAATGTGGACCAAACTGGCTTATGTAATTCTCTTCCATTTTATGTAGGTTATGCTGTATGCGTGTGACTAGCCCAAGGTCACCCAGCAAGATACCATGGCAAGCAGGGATTTGAACCCAAGTCTCCAGATCCTAGTTCGAAACTCAAACCTTTACAACACAATAGCTTTTATGGGGTGGCTGCTGTTGAACAATAGCAGAGAAGGAGGCAGGAAAAAGTGGGAGGCTATGGGGTTTTCAGGAAAGAGAAAATAGTGGTGGAGTCCTTGTCGGTCACACACTTGTCATAGTCTAATTTTTATAATAGTTTTCAGTGGTCGGGATCTAGTGGTCACTTAATGGTGCTATCTGTAATCCTCATAAATGAAAACTAGTAGGTGTCAAATTGAGTCCTTTTTCAGATTCACCGGGAGTTATGGCATGAATCTGTGCTTCAGGTTTTCACTCTGGAGGATAAGAAAAGTAGAATTCAGCGCAGTAGTACTTTGCTGTGGAAGGGCTATTCTTGTGTTGTGCTTAAAAGTTTATGGATGCAACCTTCCTTCAGTTTTCATTTTGTTTTGATTTTTTGCAGGTATGGTGTGGATGACTGGAGAAGGCTGTAGATCTCAGCAAGTGACTTGAGGGGAGCTGGTGTTGTCCAATGGCAGGGCTTATGGGACTTTTTGAGCCTATGACTTCCCTCCCTTGCAGGCCATAGACTTGGAGCTTGGTCACTGATGTTCATTACTCTTTGCAGTCATTTGGAATGTACTAAGAAGTCGCCTTGGCCATCAGGCCAGGGTATGAGTGTGCATAACACAAGCCAAGGAGCTGCTGCCACTCTGTCTCCTCCCTTCCCCTGTTTTCCTCTTAATGTCTGTTTGAGCATAATCTGATCATGTGAGAATTGTGCATTGTTCCACTCTTCTCTTGCACCACTTGTGGTTAGCCAGAGCAGTGAGGTAATGCTGATGATGTCTTAAGCGCACGCTTGCTGAAGGAGGTGTAGGTTTGACAGATGCATGTTGGGTGCATCGGAGACCTCTAAGCCATTGAGAGACTATGTTTGGGCTTCATTCCCCCCTTCCAAAGTCTAAGATTAATTTTAGCATGTTGAAGTTGCTTCTGTTGTGATTGAAGTCGGTTTTTTTAACTAGGTTAGAGTGTTGATTTATGAAGAAGTCGCCTTGGCCATCAGGCCAGGGTATGAGTGTGCATAACACAAGGCATGAAGCTGCTGCCACTCTGTCTCCTCCCTTCCCCTGTCTTCCTCTGTTTGAGCACAATCTGATCATGTGAGAACTGTGCATTGTTCCACTCTTCTCTTGCACCACTTGTGGTTAGCCAGAGCAGTGAGGTAATGCTGATGATGTCTTAAGCGCACGCTTGCTGAAGGAGGTGTAGATTTGACAGATGCATGTTTGGGCTTCATTCCCCCCTCCCAAAGTCTAAGATTAATTTTAGCATGTTGAAGTTGCTTCTGTTGTGATTGAAGTCGGTTTTTTTAACTAGGTTAGAGTGTTGATTTAAGGTTACTTGTGTCTAATAAATATTCAGTTCTGTTAGATCCAGTAAAATACAATATTTGCATAGATTGTTCGGCATGTAAAATCCTAGTCTTCAAATTTGCGGATCTGGATTGTTCAGGCTGTGGAGCTTTTTGGTTTTGTTTCTGTCTCAATGGAATGGTTGGCATCCATACTGGATGGAGGGAGTGGGCAGTTTCCTGTAAACTAATGACAGTAGGGCAGGGGTTGACTTAAAGGGCAGTGTGAGTGGTAGAGCCCTGACCCGGATGGCCCAGGCTAGCCCAGTCTTGTCAGCTCTGAGAAGCTAAGCAGGATTGGTCCTGGTTAGTGCTTGGATGGGAGACCACCGTGGGGGGGCCTAGGGTTGCTCTGCAGAAACTACTTGTGGCTGTCTCTTGGCTTGGAAACCTTACGGGGTTGCTGTAAGTCAGCTGCGATTTGACAGCACTTTGGTCCACCACATAAGTGGCAGAAGCTTCCCCCCTTTGCTCAGTCTTCTCAAAATGGCCTCTTGAGTGTGTTTTTCCAGCATTGCTTTTAGTGGCTCCGAGAGGCCAGAAATAATTGCTCGCCGGGACAAAAGTGGCCTGGGATATAAAAGTGTACACTCTCTTCCAGCCCTCTTATCCCTCACTTTAAATAACTTTAAATCTTTCTTGTTTTATGGGCAATCAGCTGGCCCCATATAGTTCTGCTGGTGTCTCGTGTATCTGTGTTTTCATACTCATCTGTAAAGCTTTCAGGTGGTAATTTCTGAAAACGACCAGCTTTTCCTTTATCTAATCCAATTTCTGAGGCTATGTCGCTATATTGCATCGGGGTGCAGTAGACGTTTGTGGGACAAATCCACACATTTAAGAAGTGGTCTTCTCCTCCTTTCCCCTGTTAAGGAGGCAGCAGGTAAAATAGCCGCCTTCCAGCAGTTCACCACTGACCTTAACTCACGAAGCAGAAGGTGGGCTGAAGGAAGTGGTGTGGTAAGGAATAATATCGTGAAAGTTGCTTGGTAGCAGCACAAGGACCAATGCCTGGCCCTCCTGTGCCCCATGTTTCCTCACAGCATTTGCACAACAAGGCCATTCTCTGTACTTGGTGAATTATCTTGAGGTGAGGGAGTCTCAGTGCAGATGAGTGGGAGAAGTAGAAAATAACCTTTTTTCAAAAAGACTATGTTTTGGTATCTGATAACGACGGCGAGAATGGTGTATGCACAGTGTTGGAAACAAGAGAGAATACCGGAAATTACAGAATGGATACAAAAAGTGCTATTTATGGCTGAAATGGACAAAATAACAAGAAAACTGAACAGTAAAGATCAAGATTTTTTTGAAGAATGGAATGATTTAAAAGAATATTTAGAGAAAAACTGGGATGTAAAACAAAATTTATTATGTTTAGAACAATATTAGAGGGATGTTATCTTGAAACCGATAAATCGAAACGCGAAACTAAATTAAGAAAGAATAAGGAAAGAAGGGTAGAGCACTGCAGGAAGCCACTTGGAGGGGAGGGACGGAGGGGAACATGGGTATTTGTAAATTGAAAGAAAATGTTAAACGTGTTATTATATCCAAAAATAAAAATTTGTGGAATTAAAAAAAAAAGAAAATAACCTTTTTCCCCCCTGCCCTAGTCTCTGAACAGGTTGACCTTTCGTAATGCCTGTTTCTGTGTTTCTGTTTCTCGTTGAGCTAGAAAGCCATGTGTTCAGAAGCTGGAGGAGCCCCGTCAGAATGTGGCGCCACAGAACTCTGTGTGTTGTTTTGACTTCCCCACTCTCCTCAAAGTGTCCTGCTCCAGGGCTACATCGGGGTCTGTGCCGAGGGAGAAGCTTGTAACCCCGGAGGGGCCATGGGCTTGAGCTATGCCTGCCTTCACGTCTCCTCCAAGCTCAAGCTGCTGATGCTCTTCACTGCATGCATTTTAGTGGTGGGCTGGGCCACCTCCTGCTACCTGGTTGATGCTGTGCATGAAACACCACGAGCAAAAAGTGCAGAGGCAAGCTCCAGGAAACCAACCTCTAGTGCCGAAGAACAAAAGGAAGACCTGGATGGGCAAACCAGGCCTACTGTGAAGCTGCCAACTGTGAAGCTGCCCACCGCGAAGTCCCTTTGCCCTGCTCTGTCCCCCTACCTACGTAAGTGGCCCAGTTATTTTTTTGTTGTGAGTGGAAGATCTTGCTTGGTTTTAGACATCCAAGGGGTCAGAAGGCTGCAGGGTACATTACTTGTGGCTTGAGGTAGATTCAGGTTCAGCGTGGGCCTGAAACGTCATTAGCATTTGAAAATGACACTTTCTCCTTTCTGTGTTCTGCTTCTTGGTGTTGTCCTCCTTGGTGTTTGGATATGGCTCTTCTAATTGCTGTTCTACAGATTTATGCCCCATCTTTTCATCCAGTGATCCTTGAGGCATCTTATAAGCAACAGATTAAACCCAATGTCATAAGCACAGAATTAGTCAAGTAGCCCTCCTGGCTGGTGGCAGAAACAGGAGTTTCTTTTTATCCTGTCCACAGGCCCAGAGCAACCTGAGTGTTTCTTTTTGGTGTGTGTGTGTGGGGGGGGGTGTGAGCAGACACCTCACAGCTTGAGTGGTGACTGCGGGCCACACTGAGCTTCCATGGAAATGGTAGTGCCCCTAGGAAGGAGAGAGGCACCTTCTGTCTTTATCACCCTTTTGGAACCTGATCTATGTTGCTGGTGTGGCATGGGAACCCAAAGGCTGGATTGTGAACTGCCCTCTGGTGTAACAGTTGACTACCAGAATTGCATGGGGTTGGCTGGATCATATATCTGTGCGGCATCTCCCTGGGTGCCAGCAGCACTCATGCGGGAGCTTCCCACCCACAAGCCTGGCCATCTCATGGGCTTCCGTTATTCAGGCATTGCTGGAATGTTCACAGCCTGGGGAGATCCATGCCGTGCTGGTCGTGGAAGAACCTGCAGGGTTTCCTGCTGTTGCCAGCATTGCCTGCCAGCCTTATCTTTCTTTTCCACAGACACAACCTTTACACATTTATTTACTTTGTTTATAGCCCACTTTTCTCACTGGGACTCAAGGTCATTTAGAAGATACAGAAAACAATTCAAAGGTAGAAGACAGTCTTGTAAGAGCAAGATGGTACATACAACAGCAATTGACTACAAACCTAGTCCTTTATAAGGACCCCCTCCTGGACTCAAGTTTTGATCCTTTTATAAAAATGGTCTCCTGAAGATTTCCGGCAAATCTAATTGATTACCAGGGCTCCATACTCAAATGGCTTTGCTGCAAGTCGAGAAGTTCATAGATAGAACATCATGATGTCCTGTCCTCCCCCCTCCCCCTGCCGCCACAAAATACCAGCTTAATGCCAATTTCTTTAACTTAAATTAGCTGTTTGAAGCTTAAAGAATTCCAGTTTGCAGAAACGAGGCTGAACACTTGCCTTTTTCAATAGGGGGGCCCAGCAAGCTCACCTTTAGGGGCTCTCTCACCCTGGAAGAGGTGCAGAAGGAGAATCCTCGGGTGGCAAAGGGACGGCATCGCCCAGAGGACTGCTTAGCCCAGCAGCGAGTGGCCATCTTGATTCCACACCGTAATCGAGAGAGGCACCTGCTTTTCCTGCTGGAGCACCTTCACCCGTTCCTGCAACGGCAGCAGCTGGACTATGGCATCTTTGTGATTCACCAGGTGAGTCCATATAGAAAACACACCTGCTCTGCACCTAGGAAAGAGGGCCGCATCCAAATCTTGCTGCCTTGTTGGTATTCTTCCAGGCCGCCTGGGTGCATCTTTTGCCTGTTGTGCCTTTGTGTTCAGCTGGAGATCTGTATCCTGCCTAAGGCAAGCCCCAGATCTCTCTTGCCCAACTCTAATACAAATCTGTCTCAGTGTGTTACCAATGCTTACGGGTCCCTGTGAACATCAGTGCTGATGAGTTTCTTCTGCTGCAAAGCTTAAAGCAGATAAAATGAATTAAGCAAGCTGGTGGCAAATTAACTTCATGCGCTGTTGCTAAAGCATGGTTATTTCCAAAGCTGGTGGCCTTGAAAAAAGTGTGCCTGGCTCAAATAGTTGCTTGCTTGTGTCCTGGGGCTTGGTTTGTATTTATTTATTAGATTTTTTACCCCGCCCTTCCGGTTTAGGCTGGCTCAGGGGGGTTTACAACAGAATAAAACCAGACAATACAAAGCATAAAATCACATAGATTAAATATACATACAATATTAAAAACTCAGATATGGTAAGACATAATAAAGTGCTAGTAATTGAGTAGTATTTATGTAATAGTAGTTATGTAATAGTAGTACTAGTAATAGTAGTATTTATGCTGGACAATCATAGATTATATAGAATCACAGAGACACAGAGTTGGAAGGGGCCATACAGGCCATCTAGTCCAACCCCCCTGCTCAGTGCAGGATCAGCCTAGAGCATCCCTAACAAGTGTTTGTCCAGCTGCTGCTTCAAGACTGCCAGTGAGGGGGAGCTCACCACCTCCCTGGGCAGCTGATTCCACTGTTGAACAACTCTTACTGAGAAAAGCTTTTCCTAATATCCAGCCTAATTTCTTAACATTCCTGCCCTTAATTTAAACCCATTATTTTGAGTCCTATCCTCTGCTGCCAATAGGAACAGCTCCCTGCCCTCCTCTAAGCGACAGCCCTTCGAATACTTAAAGAGAGCAATCATGTGCCCCCCCCCCCAACCTCCTCTTTTCCAGACTGAACTTTCCCAAGCCCCTCAGTCTTTCCTCATAGGGCTTGGTCTCCAGGCCCCCGGTCATCCTCCTCACTCTCCTCTGTACCCACTCCATTCTGTCCACATCCTTTTCCTTCTTCCTGTGGCTACTTACAGTGAAACTTTCTCCTTGCCCTTTGCTTTCAAATGGGAGCTTTATTTGTTAAGGATAACACAAGAGAGCCCCTTACTCAATGGCAGAGCAGCTGTGTTGCACTGTGAAAGTCTCAAGCCACTATTTGAAGAAGAAGAAGAAGAGGAGGAGATTGGATTTATACCCCGCCCTTCACCACCCAAAGGTGTCTCAGAGCGGCTTACAAACTCCTTTCCCTTCCCCTCCCCACAACAGACACCCTGTGAGGTAGGTGGGGCTGAGAGAACTCTTGACAGAAACTGCTCTTTTTCAAGAACAGCTGTGCCAGAGTTATGGCTTGCCCAAGGTCATCCAGCCAGGTGCAAGTGGAGGAGTGGGGAATCAAACCCGGTTCTCCCAGATTAGAGTCCACGCACTTAACCACTACAGCAAACTGGCAAGCTGCATTAATCCTTGGCATTTCCAGCTTAAGGATCTCAAACACTGGGGATTAAGAGAAAGGGACAGAGAGAGACAGAGAGCGCACAGCCAAAATAGTGAGCTAGATGGGCCAACGTATTTGAGAATTCTGTCGCCTAGAGAGGAGGGGAAAAGAACTTTCACAACAAATCCTTTTCTCTCAACATCTGTTTTGTTACCTCTTTCGTAATTAAAATGTTTATACCCTCACCTTCCCCTTCCCTTTAGAGAGAGGCCGTGGCTCAGTGGTAGAGCATCTTCTTGGCATGCAGAAGGTTCCAGGTTCAATCCCTAGCATCTTCAGTTAAAAGTTGAGGTAGCAGGTAATGTGAGAGACCTCCACCTGAGACACTGGATAGCCACTGCCAGTCTGAGGAGATAATATAGATCTTAATGCATCAGTGGATTCACTATAACAAGGCTTCACGCGTGTTGTGGAAATTGGATTTTACAATAGGAGAACAATGATCCAATAAATTGGTTATCACAGTTAGGGAACAATGAAAGAATATATCTAAGAAACAATGCCGTATAAATGGGGGGGTTGCTTTAAATTTTCACAGTCAATGAAAGTTAGAAGCCTGTTACTGTTACAGAAGCTGTGCTTCCTGAAGAATTCTGTTTTTGCTCATCATTATGCCCACATTTTTTTAGGAAAATGCCCACCCTGAACAATTCTTTTATACATTCTGCAAAATGGCAGATGTGAGGGACCATACTTCTGAATCCCGTCAGTGATTACATACGAGTTATTGGCCTTGATAGATAAATGGGCCTTCCGGGCTCAGAGGCAGCTGGCAGCAGAATGACCACTTGTGGGGGCAAAACCAGTGGGGGAGGTCTCTGGCTTGCATGGCCCACTGTGAGAACTTTCAGGAAACATCTGGCTAACTGTTGTGAGAAACAGGATGCTGGAGTAGATGGACTTTTGGTCTCATCCAACTGGGCTGTCCTTATGTTTTTGCTATGAGAACAGAATCAGGAGTTATTCATTCACGTTGAAAAATCAAGGCTGGGAGGTCCCTTTTCATTTTCAGTCTGTGCTTCTCCTCGTCAGTTGAAGCTGATGAGGTGGAGATTCTGCAAGGCCCAAAAGGTTCCTCTTGTGCTTTACAGTCCATTATCAAAGGCGCAGCTTGGAATTCCCCTGAACTTTGGCAAATCCAAGTGAATCTTGTGGGCATGAGCAGGAGGCCATGCAGACACAAATTGGGTGACTTGGCATATTGAAATGAAATCTCTCTCTGGTCCCCAAGGATATACGTTCGGACCATTCTGAACAGAACTGTAGGTTGCAGCATCTGAGATGAAGAACGTTACTGGGCTGAGGTGCTGTGCAGCAGTGGTGAGGAAGGTCTGTTGATGGATGCCATCCAGAGCAACGTGTGAAACTCCTATATTAGGTTGTTCTGTCAAAGCCCGTCTTGCCTCCTCTGACTGGCAGCTACTGTCCAGGCTCTCAGATCAGAGAACTTTTGTATCAGATACTGCCTGATCCTTTTAGCTGGAGAGACCAAGGACTCTTTACTATGGTAAAGCTATGGTACCAGGCATGCAGAAGGCCCTGTGCTCATTTCTTGGCATCTTCAGGTAGAGGATCCGAAGATGCGTCTCTGTCTGGGATCCTGGAGGGTTGCTGTCAGCCAGAGTACTAAGCTAAATGGGCCACATAAAGCAGCTTCATAGGTTGGAAAGGAATGATAGCTGGGGTGAAAAAGAAGGGGGCTTAGAGTCAAAGTTGAGGCAAGACTGGTAGAAGGGGTTGCATTAGATTTTTTTTGTCCATCTTTTTTTGTGCAGCCGCTGAGACTAACGAAGAAGGGTGTGGCTGGCAGCCCAGCCCCGTGGAGCCTGAGTGGCAGGCGGGGACCTCTGGCGGCCTGACTGAAAGTAAAGACAAGACAGGCTGGAAGAGGCATCCTGATGCTGCTAGGAGGGTGGGAGAAGGACGGCCGGCTGGGTGGACTTAAAACTGGCTCAGGAACACTTGGGGGGGGGGCAAGGAGGACACAGCAGGGAGCACTCAAAACGACAGGGAGAGAGCAGTGCTGGGAACAAGAGTGGGGAGGAGCCAGCTCATGGATAAGAAGGCAGGGATGGCTGCTTACCAGGAGGCGGCGGCAGGGCTTCAGAGACCTAGAGGCAAAGGACTGTGGAGCAGCAGGGGAAGGGCTCTTAGAGGACAGGTGCCCTGCCCTCTTGGAGGAGGGAGGGAGGGAGGAAGCAGTGCGGCTGGTTGAGGGCAATGTGGCTTAAAGGTACTGCAGCCACAGCTGAGAGGACTCTCTGAGACCACTCTAGATGGACTCCATGAACAGGAGGCACATTAGACTGCAGGTGGGGCTCAAGGACATTAGGTATTAAGGCAGGCTGTGGGGCTGATAATCATGTGGGTGCTGGTTTGCTGGAGACTGTGTATAGTGTTTGCAAAGGCAAGGTTGCAGTGGCCAAGGAGGATTATGGGAGGGTGACACCAGCAGGAAGCTGGTGCTTGTTTGCTAGAGACTGTGAAGGGGAAGACATATATGTGTATAGTGTTTGCAAAGGCAAGGTTGCAGTGGCCAAGGAGGATTATGGGAGGGTGACACCAGCAGGAAGCTGGTAACGTCACAAAGGGAAACTTCATTTCCAGGGACAAGATCTAACTCTACATTTGTTAATTGTAGGAACTTGCATGTAAACTCAGTTTTGATTTTAAATTGACCATTTGCTGTCTTGGTCTGTACCTGCTGTCCTAGTAACAATATATACATGTTGACTTCTTTAAAACACAAGCAGTGAATGACCTGGCATTAATTTTTGTTTGTTGGGATTTGGTTTAATAAACCAGCTTTGTAATAAGCAGTGAACGTGACACCTTTTTCCAGGAAGACTTTTATTCATGTCCTGTTTGGCCTGACAATTGCTGGTCAGGACATGTTCTGAATGCTTTGGAGAATTTGTGTTTCTACCATCATTCTCAAGCATTACCAGGCTTTTGAAATGGGCAGCTAGGTTGAAAGTGTGGTCACAAGCTCTCAAAAAGAGAATGTTGTCATTGTTTTCATTAGAATGACTTACAGAAGAATGAACAATATAGACTTAGGTGTATCAGAAGGGTATGTATAATAGGCCACTTTGCTTTTATTGTTTGTTTTTTTAATGCAAGTTTCATGATGTATTATAATGAAAGGAAAGATACTATCTTCCTGTTATTTTTACATTTCTTTTTCAAATGGAATGCTTGTATTGATCGCGGGATTGAGAGATTCTCCTTCCCACGTGCTGTTGTTAATACTGGATGCTTTTAAACGGAATGAATTTATATCTTTGTTAATCTTAGAGCTGTTAATGCCTAGTATTTTTTCTAAAAGGTCAAATCCTGTCTCTTCCTCCACATGCAGCTGCTGGTTTGACCTTGGGTCAGTCGTAAGTCCTTTCAGAGCTGTTCTCTTGAGGGCAGTTCTCGAGAGAGCTCTCTCAGCCCCACCTACCTCACAGGCAGTGTTCCCTCTAAGTTGAGTTAGTGCGAGCTAGCTCACAGTTTTTTAGCCTCTGGGTCACACATTTTTGCCTTGGCTCAGGAAGGATGGCTCCAGAGCAAACTGATTTATGCAGTAGCCAAATCGCTCGCTCACAACTTGAATGCCAGTAGCTCACAAAGTAGAATTTTTGCTCAAAAGACTCCACAGCTTAGAGGGAACATTGCTCACAGGGTGTCTGTTGTGGGGAGGGGAAGGGAAAGGAGATTGTAACTGCTCTGAAACTCCTTTGGGTAGTGAAGGGTGGGGTATAAATCCAATCTCCTCCTCCTCCTTCTCGTTGTGCCTGACTTTGCATAAGCCAGTCGACAGAGAATGGGCAAGCCCTGAGAGGTCTAAGCAGTCAATACCCTGTCCTTGCAAGGGAACACCTTTGTGCAGAAGTAGCCGTCAGCACACGTGGGCAGTGCACATCCACTTGCCCATCTCCATTCACACTTCAGCACCCATAGAGGCCTTTGTTACTCACCTGGCAGTGTACACCCTTATCCAGAGAACTTCAAGTTGATTTGTACAGCTGACTGCCTGAGACTGGATCTGGCCTGGAGCCCAAGCCCTTTAAAAATGATTTATCTAGTTAAGACATGTCTGTCCTACCTCATTTAATCACCCCACAGGTCCTGCTTTTTCAGTTGCTGTGTCTGGATACAATTGCTGTGAGGTGGGAGGGATCCAGTAAATATGTTTGATGAGGACAGGATCTTGGCAAAAGGCTTTCCGAGTCTGACGGGCATGCCGTGTATCAGTTCCACCTTTTTTGTTGCTGGTGTTGTCGTTGTTTGCAGGCTGGCGATGCCAAGTTTAACAGAGCGAAGCTGCTGAACGTCGGCTACTTGGAAGCCCTGAAGGAGGAGAACTGGGATTGCTTCATATTCCACGACGTGGATCTGGTGCCAGAGAACGACTATAACATTTACATGTGCGGCAGTCAGCCAAAGCACCTGGTAGTGGGCAGGAACAGCACAGGGTACAGGTAGGCGAGGCAAGGGTGGCAGATAGCATTGGCATCTTTTGAAGGAGAGTCAGTTCCCATGCAACTTCTTCATGTATAAACTGTTGAGGTTTATATCATGCTCTCCTGTGCTTCCTTCCGTTGTGTTGGAGAGCTTTGCTGGTATCTACTTACTTTCATCGCACTTTGGTGCTAAAGCCAGTTCCGTAAATTAAAGTCAGATATGGAAATTCTGTGTAGAAGTTCCTTGGGGTGAGGATTCTAAGCCAGGACAGATCCTGGTGAGGTGGTGAAGCACTTGGCAAATCCTTGCCTTCCCTTTCACGGGCACTTGGAAACTGGAGGGAGGGGCACACCCAGCTGAAGCGGGATCTATTTAAGACGTGTGAATAATCATTATTTTAATCTAACCATACAGAGTTCTTTCAGAGGGTATTTTCTCTAATGGGGAACTGGCGTTCTAACCTGACTTTTAATAAGACTAGGAGTGTGGTGGTTCGGAATAAATATCCTGGTTTCCTGGCTTGTGGTCAAGCAAAGTTTTGCCTGTTTCTCCCCACCCCCAATAAAATTAATGTGCTGAGTTCTCAGATGCCTTTCACTGAATCAGTCCACTGATCTATAAAGGCCAGTATGTCTGTTCAGACCAGCAGCAGCTCTGCATAGTCTCAGACAGAGGCCTTTCGTGTCACCTCCTATCTGATCCTTTCACCTGGAGATGCTGGGGTTTGGACCCGAGACCTTCTGCCTACCAAGCATATACTCTGCCATTGAACCCTGCCCCCCCCCCGGTGTATTCTTTTATTGGCACTTCTGCTGCCCCGTAAGTCGAAAACCACAGCAAAGTTCTGTGATGCCACTGTGCAGCCGTGGGAACATAAACAACACTGTGACTCTTCCTGCTCTCCTCTTCTCTTCCTCCTTTCCGAGTGGCTTGCACAACTGTGCAGTTGCGGTGGGAGCTGCTTTTTTGATCTCTCTGCACAATTGGCCCGACACAAAATGGGATGTATGCTTGTTACATCGTTTCTTTCAAGAGGGGAATGCACTGGCCAAGGTTGAACTGCTTGTTATCTTGTTTATATTTTAAGTCTCTGCTGCTTTTCCCATTGGTTTAATAGAAATCTCTCACCCGCCCGGGCTGTGTCCCAAGGGCACTGGTTTGTTTCAGTGAAAAGCCGTGGCTTGGCAAGGGAGAGGTCTTTCTTGCTTTATTTGCAGAAAGCTCCAGGTTCAGTCCCTGGCATCTCCAGTTTTAAAAAAGAGGATGTCAGGCAGAAAGTGTTAAGAAAAGACCTTTATCTGCCCGAGATCCCGGAGAGCTGCTGCCAGTCAGAGCAGAGGGGACAGAGGCCAGCGAGATGAACTGAGTGAAGGAGGCCAGACAGTGTCTAACCTTATCCTTTGTTTGAGTCCAGTGGCACCTTTAAGACATCTGGAGAAGTGCGAGTGTGCAGGAAAGCTCATACCTTGAATGAAACTTTGTTGGTCTTCAAGGTGCCCAACTGGACTCAAACTTTGATCTGCTGCACGAGACCGAACACGGCTACCCCGCCTGGATCTTCTCCTTTGTTGATCAGCTCAGCCACCCTTGCCCTTTATATCCACAGCACTTGAGGAATAATGACTTTTGGCCAAGGTTTACGAGCCTTTAGCTGATAAGGAGCAGATTGGAGGTACCTCTTATTTGTGCAGCACACATTCTCTCTTTTAATTTATTAGGAGTGTTGAAGCCAGAGATAAGATCATTCTGAGAACATTGGTGCTGCAGCTGGCAAGGAAATTATCCCCTGGCAGTCAGTTTAGGGCCAAGCTAGAGGGCCCCCACCCCACCCCATACTTTATTTACTCTGATCTGGCTGAGGCTATAAACGGCTTGTCTTGTGAAAGAGCAGAAGGCAGCAGGAAACATGTGGATGATGCAACCAGATGATCCCGATGGTGTCCTTCCTGAATTTCTCTAGAGCCAGTTTGGTGTAGTGGTTAAGTGCGCAGACTCTAATCTGGGAGAACTGGGTTTGATTCCCCACTCCTCCATTTGCAGCTGCTGGATGACCTTGGACAAGCCATAGTTCTGTCAGAGCTGTTCTCTCAAGGACAGTTCTGGAAAGAGCTCTCTCTCAGCCCCACCTACCTCACAGGGTGTCTGTTGTGGGGAGGGGAAGGGAAAGGAGTTTGTAAGCCACTCTGAGTAAAGGGCAGGGTATAAATCCAATCTCCACCTCCTCCTCCTCCTTCAAGGGCTAAAAGGCCCTTGTATACTAGGAGCCCAGGAACGCATGGATTCAGCTGGTGGGCTTCTTCAAACTGTCCTTGATGCTACTTGTTGCCTATCACTGCTCTGAAGAGCAAGCCCTTAAACTGTGTTCCCATTTAGACGCTTTAGGGTGCTTCCAGGGGGAGGTTTCCTTCCTGCAGATGACCTGGAAGCCAGCATTGGGTATTCACAGTGGTTTTCCAGCCTTCTATAAGATTTGGAGGTTTCTTTGCTTGATCGTTGCAAGTCTGGGTCGTAATTTGACAAAGTGGGCTGACTGACCAGTGGGAAACACACAGAATCATTACTCGATCATAAATGGAAATGATTTATTAAGCACAGTGTACAGTCCAGCAAATGAAGTAGCACCAAAACAATAAAAAGGTACAAAAAGACATGAAAGCAAGAGCAGTAGAAAAATGTGCAAACTTCCAGTGCATTTCAGGTGGCAAAGCAATTAAAAACACCATAGATGAAATATAAAAATGAAAAATGTCAAATTAAAAGAAATTATGGACCAATAATAAAAAAAATTCAAGGACCAATCATAATTGATTACATAAGAAGAAACTGTGCGATAACCTGAACTCCCAATTGCTCCATCCCTTCTAGTTAAAAGGTAAGGCCTGTAAGTTACCCTGTAACTCTAAAGCACTTTGCATAGCTTTTCTTAGTTTTCAGAGGGAATCCTTGAAAACAAAATCGAGACGAAGCAAAGCAATAGATTACTATGAAATAATGGAAAGAAAAGATGGGAAGAAGCAAAACATGCAGGATAGCATAAAAAGTGTGTTTGTGTGGGGAAGGACTAGATTTGGTTTAGGGGAAAGTTTTGGAACTTCAGAGAAGAAAGTCTGGTCCTTTCATACAGTTCTTCATTGATCAGAGGCAGCCCGTCCCATTCTTAGGAGAAATGAGCCCCCCCCCGCATATCTAATTATTCATATGTATTAAAGGTAAAGGTAAATGTTCCCTTGCTTGAAAGCCAGTCAAATCCGACTCTAGGGTTGCGGTGCTCATTTCTGTTTCAAAGCCAAAGAGCCAGCGCTGTCCGAAGACATTTCCGTGGTCATGTGGCCGGCATGACTAAACACCAAGGTGCACGGAACGCTGTTACCTTCCCACCAAAGTGGTACCTATTTCTCTACTTGCAATTTCTTGCTTTCGAACTGCTAGGTTGGCAGGAGCTGGAACTAGAGACGGGAGCTCACTCCGTCTTGCGGCACTCGGGTCTCGAACTGCTGAACTACTGACCTTCCACAGCCACCGCAGCTCCTCAAATGTATTACCCAATTCCTTTTGTGGCTCAACATAACATAACCAGTATCTTTCAAGAAAGCTTCCTTTCTACCCTGACCTGGATAGCCCAGGCAAGCCCAATCTCATCAGATCTTGGAAGCTAAGCGGGGTCAACTCTGGCAAGTACTTGGAAGGGAGACCTCCTTGGAATACCAGCAGTCGGGAGGACAGGGCAGGCTTTATTCAGCCACCTCTCTGAATATCTTCCAGGCCCCCAGTAGGGGTCAGTCACCAGAGGTTGCTATGACTTCCAGGTGCACACACCATCAGGCACCAGAGGTAACCATGATTTCCAGGTACATGTGCACACACACTCACATACACACATATGAGAAATACAAAAAAAATACAAAAAACATAAAAGAAAGCTCCCATTCTCTTTCGCTTTCATCAAAGGAACCCTTTCAGTTGTCTATCCCGTCTCTATCAGTACACAGAAGTGTGTTCAAGGCTGTTGGCTTATATAAGCCACTTTATTTTTTTAGGTTTATATACGAGTGGAGACATGTCACCTCTGTCTTTTCATTAAGCAAAGTGTTGAATTATTGCCTTTGCTGCATCTCTGAGCTCCTGAGGTGGCATGGTTAGGCTGGTTCCCCTTAAGGAAGATTCTTTTGGTCCCAGGCCAAACTCAAAGTTCTTCAGAGTAATCAGACTGGACTTCTTTGGGGTTCAAGGATCAGAGTAACACCTGTCATGACTTTAAACCACTGTGTTTTGGGAGGTGTGTGCTTGGTTGCAGGACAACCTAAAGACACAACCTTGGAAATTAAAAGAAAGTGGCTTTTTGTGCTGGAGTTTAAAAATAGCCCATGTGGCCCGGGAGGGATTCTGTGATGTGCTTCTTGCACAAAGTGATGTCTTTGAGGTTCTAGAGCTGGTGCCAAGTGGATCTTCCGGGTAAGGTGCAGTGTCTCAAGAGGCCCTTGGAAGCAGATTCATACAAGGTTTTCTTCCTCTCAGAGGTACGTAGGTAGGTAGGTTTGGAGTTCAATCAGATAATGTGTTTCTGATAAAAATAATGTGTATTCTGGTTTCTTGTCACTTAAAGAACTCTTCTCCTCCACCCCCCACCGCCCGCCCATGTGTTCCAGGTTGCGTTACCAAGGATACTTTGGAGGTGTAACTGCTCTAACAAGGGAGCAGTTTTCCAAAGTGAATGGCTTCTCTAACAACTACTGGGGCTGGGGAGGAGAAGATGATGACCTCCGGCTCAGGTAATTAAATGCCTTAGGGGGAGTGGGTGGCCTTTTCTGTAATGACTCAAGGGTGGCTTAAGGTGAATGGTGAAGAAGAAGGAGTTTAGGCTGTTTGAAGATGAGAAGGTGTGGGATTTGACAAGTTCTCTAATGAAGGGCATCAGTCTCCCTCTATAAAAAGTACAGCCTATAGAAAGGAACATTGACTTGAAGGAGATGGGCCAGGTGAGGTGGTTAGTCTTGCGGCTTCTCATTTGACCCCAGAGCTAGCAAGCAGAAACCTCTCATTCTTTATCTAAATGCCAAGGTGCAAAAATAAACTGTTTAAAGAATTTTTCTCCTTTGCACTTGGAGTTTTTTCTTTAGGGATATTCCTGTTAATACTGCTTTTTCTTAACACTTTAGTAATGCTTGTCATACCAAGCAATATCCTGGTATAATAGAGGCAGGTGGAGCTCTCTTTGACCTTAGAAGGCAGATCAGTATTTGAATTTGTACCGGTTATGCCCTTGAGTGCAAGAGTTGGTGAGCATGCCAGCCACCAAAGAAATGGGGGGGGGGGAGGATTTGGATAGGAAGAAGTCTAAAATTGGCAGGGCGTTCAAAATGGTACAGGTAAGTCAAAGGGGGATGGGATGTGCACAAATCATTTCAATTCTGTATTGGAACAAGTATGATTTTAATAAAATATTGTGAGTGTTGTTGTTCCAGAAATATTGAAACAATATTCCTGATACTTTATTAAAAATAATCCTGACTCTCCCATGTGGAATTAAGAAGGGAGGTAGAGAAAGGGCCATTTTTTTCCAGTGGGTAGAAGAACCTGACCTCCCCATTGAAAATAATGGCCCTTTAAGGTTTACGGGCAGATGTGCTGCTAACCAGCTGGGAAGCAGTCCCTCCTCCTTTGCTGTTCCTACCTCCTCAATAGGATTCCTGATTTCAATATTGTCAGGAATGGCAACATTGGAATTGGCAGCTGTGCTGGTAAAGCAGGAGCCGATCTGATACCTGAAATGCTGGGCATTTTATTGGTTCAGTAATATCTGCCTCCACATCCCTAGTCATAGACACCCTCTTGAAGCTCATCCAGCATGTGTGCTTTGTAGGATAAGAAGCACAATTGACCAGCCATTTGACTTACCAGTTTTGAGTGCCAGTAAAAACATGGCTGTCCTTCAGAACATAAAGCAATGTGATCTGAAGGCTGCAGTGACAGTTGTGTAGTCCTCACGGGTCAGCCGTAGTATCTGGAAAGGCTCACAGAATGAGGATCATAAGAAGTTCTTTCTATTCATTATTGGGTCAGGTAGACTGCACTTAGCACAAGGCTGTGCACTTGGAGGAAACTGTGTAAGGGCTCAATAGTGCAGCTGTTTTGGTCCCCAGGATGTCTGAATGCTAACTTCTGAAGCAGATAAGTTGCACATCTTCATAAACTTTTAATCAAGGGAATGGTAAGGGCGTAATTAGTGTTCCATCCCTCTTCACTAGATATTTTTTAGTTGATGTTCTAGCAAATTTAAAATACTGGGGCTCATGTAAAGTGAGTATTGTCAAGTCGGATTTCTATAAAGTGGATATTGACGTAAAGTGAGTATTGTCAGGTCTGATTTCCGGATAGCCTGCTGTTCTTCCATTCAGGAAACTGGCTTGCCACCTGAGCTGGCAATTTAATTGGCACTGTGCCTTTTCCTTACAGAAACAATTTATTGCACCCCTAGAGAGCTTGTCCATTCTGTTTGTCCTCCTCCCTGAAAATCAACACAGCTGCCATATGCAAGAACACAAATAGTGCAAACTTGATGAAACCCACAGATAGGAGCATTGTGGGTTGTTTTTTTTCCTGGCAAAGCAAGGAGCATGTTGGGGACATGGTGATGAATTGATGACACCAAGGTTCTATAACAATTGCTCAACCGTCCCTTTGCGTTGAATTTATGGCTGCTTGCTAAACCAGCCTGCTGCCTGGTGCTGCAGGAATAGTTTGATAATGGATCATACTGGTCTGCAGTATTCTTTCCCGGTCCATGGTCTGTTTGCTCAGTTTGTGCATTTGTGTTTTCGATGGACCACCCACGGACCACCATGGTTTTGCGGAGTTCCATTTGGTCCATGTGTGTGGTCTGTGGGCCAGACAGCCCAATGCAGAGGCATTAAGTGTCAAGGCAACTGGGGTGGTGGTGGACTTCTACAGCCCTTCTGCAGCCGTGGAAACACCAATAGTGGTCCTCTGGAGCTTGACAGGTAGCTCTGACTGCCAATAAGAGAGCTCCCATTCTGCTCTTTGGGAGCAGACTGGATATATACCCAGCTCATAGGCAGTTCTGTTTACTTTGTAGCAGGCAGTCAGGAGGAGAGGATCAGAAAAGTTAGAGAGAAGAATTTAGACAGGCAGAGACTAGGAAGGGGGCTGGACGGGACTGTAGTCATCCTCATCAGTGTGAACTCATGGCTCTGAGCCGCCACCACCTGTCCTCCAGCTCACGTCAGGGCAGGAGGGCAAAGCTACTGGGGCTCCTTAGGGAGTGTCCCCACTCCACCTGGGTGGGATTTTTCGACACCTGTTCCCAGCTGGGGTGGTGTTGTGCATGGTCTCAGGGCTCTGAGCCACCACCAGTCCTCCCGCTCATGTCAGAGTGGGAGGACAAAGCTACTGGGGGTTTTGTGAGCACTTTCCTGGGGGCACCTGTTTTGGCAGTCGTCACTCAGCCCCACCACGGGCAATCCTCACCAAACTTGGAGGGCAGCTAGAGGGGCATACCAGGGAGATGCTCTGTGAGTTTGATGCCTTTAGCTTGCAAGGGGTCTGTTCGAGGCACTCCTGAACCTCTGGCTGTGATTTCCACAGAGAGCACTTTCCTGTGGGCACCTGCTTTGGGGGGCTGTAACTCGGCCCCCCTAAATCCAGTCTTCACCAAACTTGGAGGTCAGGTAGAGGAGAGTCAGCTGGAAACTCACAAGTTTGGTGTCTCTTGCCTGTGGGGGGGGGGGCATTCTACCACTTCCTGAACTCACATACCACAAACCCGTTCATTAAATTGAAAGGTGCGTAGTGGTTTGTCGTTCGTGAAGCCCATGAACCTACACGAACCTCCATTTATTTGTTCCATGCCCATCCCTAGCTAGAACTTTTCCAGGGAATATATCATTCCACTCTTTGACACAGACTTTACCCAGAAAAAGATCTCAGTGCTGCATTTTTCAATTCATCCAGAAGAGGGTAGCAATTTCCATTGACCAGCTGGCAGGGGAAGTCACTGTCTTTTCATTTTGCCTTTTTGTCTGTTAGGCAAATTGCCCTTCACACATATTCTAAATGTAAAGAGCCTTAAGGTACAGATAACAGTGCAAGGATTGCACTCTTCTGCGGTTCTCATCAGAACGAAGCCTCAGGCTGCCCTCTGACAACACTCTGCCAGGGAAACTTGACCGTGGGTTTTGGGCCAGTCACATATTCTTAGCTTATCCTACCCCGCAGGGTTGTTTATGAGGATAAGATGAAGGAGAGAAGAGCCATGCTGTTAACTGCTTTGGGTCTCCAGTGGGGAGAAAAGAAAAAGAACATGCCATCAAGCTGCAACCGACTCATGGCGACCCCAGACAGAGGTGGTTTGCCATTGCTTTCCTCTGCATAGCAACCCCAGTCTTCCTTATGCTCACTGTGGCCGACCCTGCTTAGCTTCCAATCTCTGACAAGCCTGGGCTAAGCTGGGCTCTTTGGGCTGCTGCTTTGAAAGAAAGCAGGATATAAATATCTAATATTTTATTCCTGAGCTATAACCATTTTGTGTACTAGCTGCGGTGGCTCAAGTGGTTCAGACACTGAACTGCAGGCTGTGGAAGGTCGGTAGTTCAGCAGTTCGAGACCTGGGTGCCACATGACGGAGTGAGCCCCCGTCTCTAGTCCCAGCTCCTGCCAACCTAGCAGTTCGAAAGCAAGAAATTGCAAGTAGATAAATAGGTACCACTTCGGTGGGAAGGTAACAGCGTTCCGTGCGCCTTGGTGTTTAGTCATGCTGGCCACATGACCACGGAAACGTTTTCGGACAGCGCTGGCTCTTTGGCTTTGAAACGG